TTCCCCCTGCCATTTCCATTTGAATACTTCACTCAACACAAGTAATTTTACTACCATGCTTTCCTAGCTGCTATCAAACCCCTATTCACAGGGACCCGTGGACAAGGAGATCAGACCATTACAGCAAAGAGAAGTTTCTCTGCCTAATTTTGGAAGCAGACTGTCAGACTTTTCTTTCTACTCTAAATTAGTCTGGATACTCCAAAGACACTGATCAGAAGCACACCAGCAAGCACCTCTCCACTGACGGTCAAGAGGTAGCTAAGCTTGAGACGTGGTCACAGAGAATTGATCTCGGTCCCCAGCGTGGGAAGGCAGAATTTTGTCACTGAATCATCAATATCATCCCCTCGTTTGCAGCTACTCTGTCTTGTAGGGTTACTGGAAGGTGGGATTGTTTGATGGCAATGGATTTTTATAGTTGTGGTATGACACAGAGTTGATTCTGACTCATATTAATGCCCTTATGTGATACAGTAGAACTTGCCCATAGGATTCTCTAAGCTCTAAATATTTATAGGATCAGATCATCACATTGGGTTTTCCTCCTGTGGAATCATTGGTAGGTTCTACCACTGATCTTTAATATTTCTATATTGGACCACCATGGCTATCTTATGAATTGCTACTATTCCAATGTTACGTATCAGGAAACTAAGACATAGGAAAATCAGTATCTCCTTAATGCAGACTCACCTCACAAGGAGAACTGAGCTTTATGCTAATAAGTAGGTTCCAACTCCCAGCAAAACTGTGTGCAACAGAAAGAAACGCTTACTGGTCCTGTACTAATTACTGCTCATAATGGCTGCTCTTATGTCAATGCAGCTCATTGGGAATCTCTGCCTTTTTACTGCTTTTCTAAGCATGTAAGCATGTAAGATGCTTTCTATGCATCTAAGAATATTCCACTTTTTTACTGCTTTTCCAAGCATGAAGTCCTTTCCTGATCACCTGTCCAAATTATGTGAGAAAAAGTTTGACTAATGCTGCTCTTAAGGAGCATTCACCTCTTCCAAAACGGATTTGTTTCTTCTTCTGGCAATTCATTGTATTTTCAATAGTCTTTATCAACACCATCATTCAAATGTATAAAGTATTCTGTGGTTTTCCTTTTTCATTGTACAACTGTCACATGAGCATGTGGCTTGGGTCAGGCACACCTTACTCCACAAAGTGACACCTTCCTCTTTAACAACTGCAAGAGGTCTTGTATGCAGGTTTACTCAGTTCAAAACTTCATTTGATTTCTGAACAGCTGCTTCCATGAGCATTGATTGTGAATCCAAGTAGACGAAGTCCTTGACAATTTCAATATTTCCTCCAGTTATTATGATGTTACCTCTTTGTCCAGTTACGAGGATTTGGGTTTCCTTTACATTGAGTTGTATGGGGTAGATCTGTTACTACAGATCTTTTTTTAGATAGTTTTTATTAGGGGCTCATACAACTCTTATCACAATCCATACATGCATCAACTGTGTAAAGCACATTTGTACATTCATTGGCCTCATCATTCTCAAAACTTTGCTCTCCACTTAAGCCCCTGGCATCAGGTCCTCATTTTTCCCCCTCCCTCCCTGCTCCCCCCTCCCTCATGAACCCTTGATAATTTATAAATTATTATTTTGTCATATCTTGCCCTGTCCGACATCTCCCCTCACCCACTCTTCTGTTGTCCGTCCCCCAGTGAGGAGGTCACATGTAGATCCTTGTAATCGGTTCCCCCTTTCCAACCCACCCTCCCTCTATGCTCCCAGTATCGCCACTCACACCACTGGTCCTGAAGGGATCATCTGCTCTGGATCCCCTGTGCTTCCAGTTCCTACCTGTACCAGTGTACATTCTCTGGTCTAGCAAGACTTGCAAGGCAGAATTCGGATCATGTTAGGGGGGTGGAGGGGGGAGGAAGCATTTAGGAACTAGAGGAAAGTTGTATTTTTCATCGTTGTTACATCGCACCCTGACTGGCTCATCTTCTCCCCTTGCAGAGTATGGGGATGTCCAGTGGCCTACTAATGGGCTTTGGCTCTCCACTCCGCACTCCCCGCCTCATTCACTATGGTAAGATTTTTTGTTCTGATGATGCCTGACACCTGATACCTCCACCTCATGATCGCACAGGCTGGTGTGCTTCTTCCATGTGGGCTTTGTTCTTTCTGAGCAAGATGGCTGCTTGCTTACCTTCAAGCCTTTAAGACCCCAGCCGCTGTATCTTTTGATCACCAGGCACCATCAGCTTTCTTCCCCACATTTACTAATCCACCTGGAAGGCTGCAGTCCATGTTCTTCATCAAGAAATGCCCAAGTCCTCCTAACCTTCAGGAAGCCAAGTGTCCTCCACAAACCTCAGGTTGTTAAAAGGCTATCTTCAAATCTTGATGCCTAGATTTCCTTCATAAAGTTAATATTCTCAGATTTGCTCAGCATACAGTTTAAGTATTGTGAAAGACTAAACCCTAATCTTAAACTGTATAAAACCCTTGTTTTGTTTTAATGACTACCTCTTGACCCACATCCCGATTCCTCATGAGTACAATGAAATGTTCTGAATTCCCATTATTCTTCCTGTTATCTATAGTTATTTTATGATCTACACAAGTGAATGCCTTTGCACTATAAGAAATACCCAAGTAAACATTTTCTAATATTCTCTGCTTTCAAAGTTCATCTGATGTCAGCAATGATATCCCTCCTCTAAATCCTGCTTATATGGATAGTAGCAGAAATGAGACAACTTTAAGGATCAAAGTTCTAGACAGGAATACAAAGGGTTGGGGGTCAATGTCATCATATCTAAGATTCATATATTTTTTCTGTGACTAGAGATTAGGTTTGTGATATCCAGTGATCCCGGGGTTAACATATTTTACAATAAAATGTTGGTATTATCCTAAGCTGAAGACCTTTGTTTTCAGTTTTTATTTTTTACTTCTCAATATATGTATTAACTTTCAATTAATTGAAACAGTAAGGCAAAGATATAGTAAAATATATATATTAAATTATTTTCTCCTTCCTCTAGTTTTCTTTTCTCACCACCTCCCCTATAATCCATGGATCTCATCTCTAGACATAATTCTTATTGCTAGCCTCTTTACTCAACTTCCTGAATACTATTTGTAAACAAGTATTTCAGTGCCCAGCTGCAAAAAATCTCAGAAATGTATTCAGAGCTAATAATATAATTTAACATTCAAAGATTCTAACCATAATTTTAGAAATCGTGTTCCTCTCTAAGGCAGCTCAGTTAGGGGAACTCCATACAGTAAAGTAGTGTCAAATGTATGAATCACAGCATAAGTGAGAGGTACCAATGTAACGCTTTCCAATTAGAAATGAACCCCCTTGGAAGTTCTGAGCTCAAAAGAAGTTCAGTCTCACCACTGGTTTCCCCCCAGACTGCCTTCAATTCATGGGATATAATTCAAGCCACGCTCAGAGAACCCTGGGAAGGATATAGGAAAAGGTGGAAGTTACTTAGGCACCAAAGTCCTGCATCGAGGCTAACACCTCACCCAACACATGCCATGACCTGGTTGAGAGCTGCTATAAAAATGTAATTCTCCTATAACACCTCCATGTAAATCATTCAAAAACTTCCCTCCACTGATTCAAACAAATTTGCTCTTTGACCTCAGAATTGGCCTCAACAACTCTTTCAGATGGTTACAGTATTGATATATGTCAACAACCATAAAGTGTAAAACAA